AGCCGCCGATGCACTTTCTCGACTCCAAGCGTCACGGCTTCTAGCGTGTTCTGCACATCGCTGTGTCCATCTGCTGGGTGGAGGCCTAAAGCAAACAGTCGCACTGAAGGGCCTAACACTGAGCAGCCTAAATCTTGCTTCAATTCCCCGGCCTTGCTGAGCAGCCAGCGTCTTGCCCTGCACCTCTAGCTTCCCAACATTCTGGGCTAGCTACTGGGTTGGCCCCTAAAACCCTTTGAAAAAATGTCTAGATTCCCTTATTGAAGCCATTAGGGAAAACATTAAATATCCCAGGGGCCTACCCAGGTTACAGGTCAGATTGCATGAAAACATATGCCGGTTCTCTTTCTTTGGGGACTGGTGATGGCTGGTTAAATCATCTTCGACACGTGCTTTTCCAACTCCGAGCTAACGACTGTAGATCCAGATGCAGCCTTCGGTTTTGGCTAGAAATCGATCTTGGCTCTTCTTCGTGTTCGGGATTGCTAGCTATCATGATTGTTCAAGCAGTGATGCGCGATGCATTCAAATCCGGCTGCTGCATGTTCGGACAGCATATCAAGCATGTGTTGATGCACTGCCTCTCAGAGCTTTCGAAGCTGATGCCTTCTGCTTAAGCATTCCTCGCCCAGCATTCTGACCCACACTTATCTAGCAAGACAAGGAACATTATCTGTTTCCAGTTCTCCAGGGCTGACTGCAATCTCGTCCTGGCCATGACAGTGTCAAAAAAGCATAGGAATGGCAAAGAGACTGGGCATTACTTGGGCTTCGTTGGCCACAAGCTTGGCTCAGGCGAGCTTCGCATATCTTCAAGCTGTTTCGTAATGAGTGCCAATTTCCAGCAGAAACAGACGTGTGTTTGCAACAAGGTCGTATCGCAGCATGTCCACTTGCAGAGCCTGAGATCTTCAAAGAGAAGCTTGCCACCAACATCCCAACTGCTTCTGAGGAAGTAGGGCTTGTGTACGTCCTTCGGCTCGGGCAGGGCGGTGCTGGCGACCTCGCCAGTGGGCACAGTCTGCATCGGTGACGCTCTTGAGCTGGAAGCCGGGACCTGCAAGCAGTCTGCAAGCAGTGTTGAGCTTTTCCAGCGCGCATGCCAAAGCAAGAGTCCGCAGATGTCTGCGCTGAACCCCGGGCCACAATGCCTCAGCGGACAAACTCTCGCCAGGTTCTGCTGCTCGTGTGGCAGGCACCTGATGCAAGTCACGCTTGGACCGCCCGGACCGGGGATCGAATCTTCCGTGAAAGCTCAACCGTTGCCGCCACTTGCATGGGTCAACGCTTCAACAAGTCCCAACCTCTGCAATCTGAGCTCCTTCCTTCTCAGTGGCTGCAGGGACTGCAGCACATTCCTCCTCGTGTTTGTCAGGCAACCCGACAGGGTATTGGATGGTGTGGAGGGGAGAACCATCTTGCTACAAACCCCAGCTTCATGAGGCCTAACAGTGAAATTCTTCGGGCCTCTGCCCAGCTAACCAGTTGTCCCTCTAGGGCCATGCAGTGTGTCTTAGTCGGCATGGATGCTCCTCCCGCTGTTCCTGCTCCTGTGACTGATGGCTTGGCTACCTCTGGCCTGCTGGCTTCTCCTCTACCCCAATCACACCCGTTTGTCTTTGGCACGCTTCCACGTTTGCCTCTCCGTCTCATCTCGCAAGGCCATTTGGGATATCGCTCTCTTTGGCCCACCCACCCACCTACTTGTCGTCCTGCTCCTGTCCTGACCTTTGCCTTGTCCTGGTTTCGGCGCGTGGGGCTGTTGGTCTCATCCAATTCCGGTGTTCCCGCTCTGTTTTGAAACTGTTTGCTTCAGCCCGGCTTCAAAGCCTTTGCAAGTGGACAATGCCAAAGGTCAGGTGTCAAGCCTGGTGCCATGGCCACACCACACAGCATGGAGAGCACGCAGACTACGAACTCATGCATATTAAGGCACTAAGGTATTCTTGGAAGTTTCAAAGTGAGCCGTCCTGTCCAAGACCAGCAGCTTCGTCAGGCGAAGCAGCAGTTTCTGCACTTCGCCTTGCAGCTGGAGACAACACTTGCCATTGCCAAGCAGCATGACCATCAAATGAAAGCATGAGCATTGCTTCAAGCTGCGAAGACTCCCGGGTCAGTCTCCACTCCTGTAATCTCCTCGCCGCTGCCGTCCTTGCTGGATTGAACGTGGGTTGAGAGGGCAGCCGCTGGAAATCTGGCCCTCGCAGACTAAGACGGAGCCAGGTCACACTTTGCGCGTTGGCGTGTTGCAGACCGATTCCGGGGCGTCCGACGTTTCTGCTTGTCCTGGAAGCGAGGACCTGTAAAGGCATCACGCTACAGCAGCATGAACCAGCAGCAAGAGCTCCAACAGTCACAACGCTCCCAGGTCTGCCTGGCAGTTGGGACCTCTGCATTGGCATCTACGGTCGACAGCCAGGTTCCAATTCTGGACTGGGCATCCATTAACAACCTCATCCATATGACAGACATCTACGTCTCCAGAGTTTTCACTCGCGCTGCATATGCTAATTTCCGCAAACAAGGGTGACCCGAATATAGACCCCAAAATACTGTACTCCTTTTGATGGGGACCCCCAACATGGCGCCCCTAATTTTGGGAAACCCCTGAACCCTAAACCCCCAAAAGACCCTATAGACCCCCCATATATCCCCTAGCCTATATCCCCCTTTGATTGTCGAAAACCCCTATATCAGCCAGGTTACTTCTCGAAGGAATCCTCTGTTGAAAACTGACGAGAGCTGCCTCAGTGCAGGTAGCTCTTGGGTGGAAGCTACTATTTGGTAGTTTCCCTAAAT